ATTTTGTATTATGTTTTTTTGATGGAAGTAACGTGAGTTTTTCTTTTTCGTGCTGTTCTAATCTCCAAAATGAGATGTTAATTTTTTGTGTTAAGAAAAAGCATTTTTCCCTTACAGGAATTCATTTATTTATGACATGCGCCGATTTGATCTCCTTTATGATCCAAAAAAATGCGTTAAGGCTTCTGCCTGGAAGCACTAGAAAGCAATGACAAAGCTATGGATAAGATGAGATCCTTGTTTTGTTATGAGAAAGCTGCTGAGCTAGCCATCCTTTACGTGGGAGAGATTGAGAAAAACATCGTGGGCGGAACTGGAAAAGGTATCATTTAGCTTTGTCGATCTCTACTCCATACAATTTGTATTCAAAATCTTGTGGTATTTAGGTAGCGCATCGACACCGAGTCCCACGCAAAAATCGGAAAAACTGGGTAAATGAGTAACTATGCAATTTTCTTATACAGTTTTAGTGAGGTGAAGCAATCCAGGTGACATCCTTGAATGCTGTTTGGAAAGAGTCGCAGCGTTGCGCATTCGAGATTCGACCATTGAAAGAAAGAGTAACGTAGAAGGCATTGAGTGGTTAGTTCTCATTTATTAATATCTCCTTTCAAGTACAAAAGAAAAATTGATTTTGAAAATTTGCATGTATCTATTTGTATATACCTTATATGCAAATGGCTTCCTTATGCGTTTCCTCCTCATCCGCTCTATATCGCACCGAATACTCATAATAAAATGGTGAAGCCGGCTCTCACCGAAGTTTTCATTTTGACTTTAGTTTTAAATTTCTGGTTTTAATTTTCTATGGCATGATATTGTGTCTAATGTAATACTATCTCGTCCTAAACATTGTTGAGATCAATCAATCTCGTTTATTTCTTACGAAATGCGGTCCAATGGTACAATCTTATTCCTTTTTCCTAATTCGATTTAAATTGCAGAAGTTAATTTGTGATGATTTTGCAGGTATCGTCGCATAATAACTTGCCTTGGAGACAAATCGACTGGTGAACGGCTGCAACAGAAGATGTCACGGCAGTTCGCTGAACTTTTATTACGAGCCGTACCAGCGGACGGACGGGGAGGTACCACTAGTCAAGCAGTCAGCATGAAAAGCCAAAATTTGAGGTTTGTTGAGCTTGAAATTAGGGTTGCAGGAATTGAAGATGTTGCATCTCCTACTTTAAGACATGGAGTTTTCGAACCAGCAATTCTTTTTTTTCACCCGCATCACATAGTTATTACTCTCCAATAAAAATAGTGCAACTTCAGACCATTTTTTTATTGGTAACTGCAAGAGAACATTCTTTCTAGGTGGTCTTTTTTTTTCTTGAAAGAAGATATTATGTTAAAAATACTTAGGAAAGGAAGTGATTCACTATGTTTATGACCATGTTTTAAGAAAAATCTATATGATAGATCCTCAACTGATTAAAGTGTTGGTATTATTAGAATCTTGTGGTAAACATGCATCTTCATAAAGTCTCATGCAGATAGCTTAGTGTAGTTTATCCAGATTTATGCACAGAGAATGCATACACATGAATGTGGTGAACGCCCATGTTTTGCAGAGTCATTACGAAATTTTGTTCTATCTTTTTGAGAAGCCTCTATATCTCTCAAGTGCTCGAAAAATCTATGATTAGCTTCTGAAGAGAATATCATTAGCTGAAAAATTGTTTGAGCTCATTTTGTTTCTCGTGATCTGGCTAAAGTGATGGGAAGAGTTTAAAAAATCAAGATCTGTCTACATTTTCTTACTAATCATACCTCATAATAATGGATTTTTGTATGAAAAAACGTCCTATCTTCTTATTAGACTCCATTCTTAATTTTCCGTTGATTTCCCTTGTAACTTTTTGTGCAAGAAGGATTTCTTGTGACTTAGTGTTTTTGTAAGTCTTCGTTTCCCTCCAGCTCCTTCCTCCCTCTCCCTCCCTTATTCCCCTTTCCTAATCTTTCAAAAATTGAGTGACAATAAATATAAGTATAGCAAGCCAGTATGCAGCTAGCCATTTGTGTTGACTAAAAAACATTTTGATATGATTTGGTATTTGTAACCACAGTTATCACCAGACTACAAAAATAATGGAAGATTGTAGTTCTTTCCCACTTTATTTTCTATGCGGTTTCGACAGAGATAAAGAAAAATAGAAGAAAGGCGATATGCGCAGTGTTACCGTATTAGCTAGGGGTAACCGTTTAATACTTTTGGAAAAGTAGCGCTTTACAAGAGTGCGTAAAAGCCAGATGTGACCATCCCAAAATAGGTTGAATTTTTGGGTGCCGCGGTTTCGTTAAACGAAAGACGACCATGTGAATGGCAGGGGTTCCATATTATAATGTTCGCATAACACAAATGATCGGTCAGAGTATGACATTTATGGATTGAGAATATTCCTTAACAATTTTCATTCCTATTGTATCTTAACTGTGGTAAGCTAAACATTATAATATGGAGCTCTTGGAATGCTTGCTGTGCCTTATATCTGTGGAGTGTTACATAAAATGAATGCTGTCATTTCTGTGAAATCACTCAGTAAGGCCAGTTTCCGGCTTTGTCGTTATTCTACAAATAAAAAGTATGAGTCATTTTTGACTCATATTGCTCTCGACATGTTAAGCGCAACGTATTCTGAAGTTTTCGTCTTCGTTTGCATACTTATAAAGCCATTTTCAGCTTTTACATGGGCTCTCATAAAGGATATTTCGCACCAGCTTCACGAACAGAGGAGGTGATTCTTCTGCTGCTGATCAGCGAGGTATGGTACAAGTTGTGACTAGTTCTTTGGTATTTTTAAGCATTCATTCTTTTCAATGCGAAATGATTGTGCTTCGCGAACTAGTAATGTCCTCTCTTGCATAAATCATTGTGCTAGCTTTGTGGCAGACACTCAAGATCTATCGTTTACGCTTGATGTCCCTGCCCTTCCTCTTGCTCGGCTTTTGACTAGATTGAGCTCCTACAGCACTCACTCCACTCTTAACCTTTAAGCTATCAATCCGCTATTTCATTATAAAATTTTTTCAATAGGTCAAGGTCTACTTCGATTTTGAATTCATTTCTTCATGTTTTGTTAAAGTTATTTCAGCTCTTTTTTTCAGCCCAATCCATATTTTCTTTCCAGTGGAATCAAACATTTCAAGTTATTCGCTAATTGTTCTCCTTTCATCATCCAGTCATGTCGGCCACTCTAACACTCGGAATTTCGTTAGACTTAAATTTTTTCTCGA